TCATGAGAGAGAGGTTACCAGAATTAGGTTAAGAAGTGTGGAGAGCTGCTTGTTAATTTCCCTAAGATGAATGAGGAGTGAGGTCTTCTGATTCGAAAAGACAGTGGACAGTGGTCTATCAGCCTTGGGACGTGTGACATGGAGACACGCAGCTGGCCCAGCCAGGCCCTGGGTGTGAGTGAACCTCAGCTTGCTGCTGCACTGGCTCTGCTGCCACCCCTCCTGCTGCGTGTTCAAGGCCTAGATATTTGGGTCTTTGTTGGCTGGCATCTCATGCCAGGAGCAGGAGCCAGACAGTGGGAGCCATCATGTCTTGCTGCTGTCTTTCTGGGTGTGGTTTAATTTGCCTAGAAGTTGCACTGCTGAGTTTTGGATTAAGGTGCACCTTGGAACTGCAGTAATTTGCAACTATGGTGAGTTTTGGATTAAGGCACCCCTCAGAACTGTGACCCCACCCTTGTTAGCTTTCCTGCCTCTGTCAGCCAGCAGAGGCTGCCCACTTAAGTGGTTTTGTTTCTTGCAGTGCTGGTGCTTGTCAGAGTGAACTTGATTGTGCAGGTTTTCCTGGGCTTCAAAGGGTATATTTCCTTTTCTAGGTTGTGGACCAGGGCCTCACTTATTCTAGGCAAGTGCTCCACTGCTGAGCTACACTTCAGTCCTTTTTATTTTTATTCAAGACATGGTCCTGTTAGGTCCGAGGCTGACCTGCAACTTGTCATCTTCCTTAGCCTCTTGAGTGGCTGGGGTCGCAGGTGTGCCTCGGCATGGCTGGCTGCTCACTCCAACTTGCCTTCCTGACAAAAAGCTCTTGGTTTTCACTTTATCTTGAAGTGGATTTTCCCAAATTGAACTTCACTCCTCCAGCCCCTGGGAAGGTGTTTCCATCGCCTGGCCCGTCTGTGTGGCTCAAGGAGCAGCTCATTCTACAGCGATGTCACCAAAGGCAGTGGCCTTTGGTCTCACTGGGCAGCCCCATTTGCTTCTCACCCCAGTTCCTGGCCCTTTGTCCCAGGGAGAACTGATATAAATTTCTTTTTTTTTTTTTTTTTT